GTAAGTAGCGGTAGTAGCAGCAGCAGTCGTAGTATGTACCATTGGCAACAGAATGAATAATATGCCATTGATGATGATTGACATTCTATATAACCAAGCAAAACCAGCAGGAGGTGGGACCAAAGACTAAAGAGTACTTTATGAAGATATCTCAATTTAGAGACCAAAGCAGGCAACCATTGAAGTGACACGATTGCGTCATTATGGACAAGTCAAAACAAGATGGCTGCTTTTCTCAGTCAAGCCTCAACTTATAGTAGGTTCTGGTTTCATGTTATTTGAATGAAAAATTGAAGGAAAGTCCAGTCCTGGTCCAACACAAACGAATCTCTTTGAAAACAATAGTCCTTACATTTAGGATAAGGGGTTTTATTACACTTTGTCTGGCTTCTTCATAAAGTTCCCATTTTGATGAGAAAACATTGTTATTTTCTTTATAAAGACTTTTATCGAACGCTGTTACTTTCAAGAATAAGGCGGTAAACCTCAGTCCAAATTATGTGTTCAGAAAATACATTGATTTTTCTCTTCGTGCTGCGTTTATTAAATCTGGCCTGTTCCGTGGTCATTGTGCACCTCACTACTGCCGCTCAATTACCTGGTGTTCTTTGTCCGATTAGTGCGGTCTCCTACCACAGTGCATTGTGGGAGTTGGGCTGAGGTCATGTCCTGGAGAAGAGGCTACACAAGTTAAAAATTGTCGAACCCTTTTATCAGGAAAGTCGATTTTGAAGTGAAATTTAGTGATGGAAGAAGCTGAACGCTGAAGGAAGTCGGGCTCCTGTGGCTATTTCTGTCAGATTTGCAAATTACTGCAAAGCTTAACTAGAGAGGTCTGGATTTGCATGTATACCGAGACTAGAGAGGTCTGCATGTATACTGAGACAAGATATGTCTGTATGTATTGACCAGATGCATCAACGTCATCCAGTCACGTGATTGTGAATGAGCTTATGGCGGAAGTATTGGAAACTAGCATTGCACCGAGAGCAAAACGGACACAACTCTTAAAAACGGAGCTTCCTCTCCTAAATCGAGAAGTGGCTGCTTCAAGCACTTGTTTGATTACGTTATAGGTGGAAGTAGGACATCGGGTCAGGGCTCACAAAGAGTGGTATTTGGAGAAGTTAAGGATTGCCTAACTGGATGTTGACCCGTACCTTCTCCCCCCAGTCAATTTTATCGATTAAGTAAAATGTCTATTTTTGCCCGAATTCACCCTACATGATCATTATCATTATCGTTAACAATGAATCCCCTCACACTGGAGCAGATTTATATGTACATTTTTCTGGTAGCATTAGCAATAGCCCACTTTTCTGTGGCTTTTCTGTCTACAGCCAAACATGACACGTACTGACAGAGAGGAAAATAGTGAAACACGCAATTGACTTAAAAGATAAAAATGTCAATGTTGCAGCGCACATACAGGACAGTAGTAAGAGACACGTTTGACGTGTGTCATTGTCCTCCAAATTAATGGAAATTAAATAAATACAAACTTGTGATTGCTTTATCTTGTAAAAAGTGTTCACTGCATATTAGGGAGTACTTGGATGGGTCCCAGTCCTTTTGGTTGATTGCGGCTGGCCATCGTCGTCTTCTGTCTTCATGACGAGGAGGTATCAGATAAAAAAGCTTATGTCCTTGCCTGTTAGTATAATCAACCGCACTGCAAAATGTCACAGTTTTGGCTGTAATGCGCTGAAACAGGTTGTTTTGGTCAGGTGTCCGTAGGCTCGCAGTTACTTCTGCCGTCTGTCATGGAGAGTGGGCGTGGCCGGGACGTCACATGCAAGGGGTCAATACTGAGACTAGAGGTCTGCATGTATACTGAGACAAGAGAGGTCTGGACATATATACTGAGACTGAGATCTTTATCGTCTACCCATATAAACATTCATTTGTACAAACTCTGTCTCAAAATCCACTTTGTAAAACTTGTTTGCGGAATTCTCACATTCAATAAACAGAGGGACCAAAATAACTTCCAGAAAATTCCTTTGCCAAGTTGCCTTGCGCAACATTTTTGCACATATGTCATTTTGTCTGTATCTGAGTGAGATCTAAGAACACTTTGAAGGAATACCTAAAATAATCGTTTGAACTTTCCATTTCTTTCCACAAACACAACATCCACAGTGGCCTTTTTCAGCTCTCACGTGAAATAAACTTGGACCAATATTTTTAAGATGACTTTGACGCAAAAGTGACAAACAGCATTTCTGTGGTGCTTGCCAGTAAAAAAAAAAGTAGCTTGTAAATACCTGTAATACGCATTATTTATGAAAATCTTTTGAAAAACACTGGATTTTTACATTGTTAAGAGCATTTATGGACGCCATCTTCTTCAGGATGCTGATACGTGTTCACTGGACTGTTGAAAACCCTCATTCTGCGCCCAAACAAAATGAGCGTTTTTGATAACTTAGAAAAAAACTCAAAAATTCCCCGACAACGAGGGTCGATGAGGACACTATCGCTTGGACTTGTTTGCGATTAGTGCGTTTGTGTCTGTCCTTTCTTTGTGAACGTCCCATTAATTTCTGTATATTTGTCAAAAGTTGAACAAAAACTGAAAAAAAAAAAAATGCTTTTTTGTGGACCCGCCGTGCAATCTGCGAGTATTGATCTTGGAAAAGGGCAAAAGAGAGAGTAGAATCTCGTCGAGGGCTGGGCCTGTGTTTGTTGTCGTGTCTTTAAGTGATGCTTTTGTCGGCGACATGTGAAATGTTTTTATTTTTATGGACTTTTACGAAGCGTTTGAACCTGTGGAGAAAAGTCAAAGCCAAATAAAATGTATCACATTTGTATCTGTGTCTGCGATGTTTTTGAGAAACCAGAGAGAGAGACCAGAGAGAGAGACCAAGGAGAGAGAGAGGGAACAGAGAGAGACTGGAGAGAGAGACCAAAGAGAGGAACAAAAGAGAGGGACCGGCGAGAGGGACCAGAGAGAGACCAGAGAGAGAGACAAAGGAGAGAGAGAGGGAACAGAGAGAGACTGGAGAGAGAGACCAGGGAGAGAGACCAAAGAGAGACCAAAGAGAGGAACAAAAGAGAGGGACCGGCGAGAGGGACCAGAGAGAGACCAGAGAGAGAGACCAAGGAGAGAGAGAGGGAACAGAGAGAGACTGGAGAGAGAGACCAGGGAGAGAGACCAAAGAGAGACCAAAGAGAGGAACAAAAGAGAGGGACCGGAGAGACGGAACAAAAGAGAGGGACCGGCGAGAGGGACCGGAGAGAGAGACCGGAGAGAGAGACCGGAGAGAGAGACCGGAGAGAGAGAGAGAGGCCAGAGAGAGGGACCAGAGAGAGAGATCAAAGAGAGAGACCACAGAGAGAGACCAAAGGCCAGACAGAAACCAGAGCAAGACCAGAGAGAGCGAGAGAGACCAGAAACACCAGAGGACACAGCTGAGGGTCACTGTTTCTCATGTTTGGAACGTCCCATGGTGCGAGTGTGAGTCTGAGCAGAGATCATTGAACTGAATGAGCAGTTGAGGCTTGGTACCGTCACACACACGAGAAACGAGACAGTTTTAGCCAAAAGTAAAGACGACGTAAAGAAAACGCTAAAGCAGGCGTCTTCTTGTGTCATTGTTTCATAATAATCACAGACTCTGAGCTGTCGTCTCAGATCTGACGAGATTCAGACGCAAAAAAACAATTATCACTTTAGCCGACGCACAAACATATGGCAACACAACAGCTGATTATCACACACACACACACACACACCTGAGAGGGAGAACTGAGAGAGAGACCAGAGAGAGAAACAAGAATGAGAGACCAGGGAGAGAGACTAGAGTGAGAGAGACCAGAGAGAGGGATTAGAATGAGAGAGACCAGAGAGAGAAACAAGAATGAGAGACCAGGGAGAGAGACTAGAGTGAGAGAGACCAGAGAGAGGGATTAGAATGAGAGAGACCAGAGAGAGAAACAAGAATGAGAGACCAGGGAGAGAGACTAGAGTGAGAGAGAGCAGAGAGAGAGACTAGAGTGAGAGAGACCAGAGAGAGAGACTAGAGTGAGAGAGACCAGAGAGAGAGACTAGAGTGAGAGAAACCAGAGAGAGGGACTAGAGTGAGAGAGACCAGAGAGAGACAAGAGAGAGAGAGAGAGAGACAGAGAGAGAGACTAGAGTGAGAGAGAGCAGAGAGAGAGAGACTACAGAGAGTCCAGAGAGAGACCAGAGAGAGAACAGAGAGAGACCAGAGAGAGACCAGAGAGAGACCAGAGAGAGACCAGAGAGAGACCAGAGAGAGAGACCAGAGAGAGAGACCAGAGAGAGAGAGAGAGACCAGAGAGAGACCAGAGAGAGACCAGAGAGAGACCAGAGAGAGACCAGAGAGAGACCAGAGAGAGACCAGAGAGAGAGGAGAGAGACCAGAGAGAGACCAGAGAGAGACCAGAGAGAGACCAGAGAGAGACCAGAGAGAGACCAGAGAGAGACCAGAGAGAGACCAGAGAGAGAGACCAGAGAGAGACAGAGAGAGACCAGAGAGAGACCAGAGAGAGACCAGAGAGAGACCAGAGAGAGACCAGAGAGAGACCAGAGAGAGAGGACCAGAGAGAGACCAGAGAGAGACCAGAGAGAGACCAGAGAGAGACCAGAGAGAGACCAGAGAGAGACCAGAGAGAGACCAGAGAGAGACCAGAGAGAGACCAGAGAGAGAGACCAGAGAGAGACCAAGAGAGAGACCAGAGAGAGACCAAGAGAGAGAGACCAGAGAGAGACCAGAGAGAGAGAGAGAGAGAGAGAGAGAGAGAGACCAGAGCAGAGAGAGTGAGACCCAGAGAGAGAGAGAGAGAGAGAGAGAGAGAGAGAGAGAGAAAGAGAGAAAGAGAAAAAGAGACCAGAGAAAGAGGAGACTAGTGATTGAACCAAACTATCTCCAGAGCAAGGTACGTTATTGTGGTTTAAAAGTCAGGTACCCCAGCTTTAACAGTTGTTCTGGGTCCATTCCCTCAGACCCTGGAGGTGTGTGAGTCCCGGAGTCTCACCTCCAGACATCGCTGCCCTTGGAGAAGGTGGAGGCCTTGATGACCTCAGGGGCCATCCAGGCGTAGGTCCCCGCGGTGCTCATCTTGGTCGTCTTATGCCACTCTCGAGCCAAACCGAAGTCTGTGATCTTCAACGTCAGACCCTCCACACAGTCATTCTCCAGGGGCTGAGCGAGCAAGACTGAGGAGAGAGAGGGGGAGAGAGAGAGAGAGACATAGAGGGGGGAGAGCAAGAGAGAGAGGGAGGGACAGAGAAAGAAAGAAGTATAGATTTTAGTGGTTTATTTTTGACAACAAGATCCCAAATATTTACACTGGTGTTTTGCAAAAAGGAAATATTCAGATCATCAATTAAGATGAATTAATAATTTTTTGACCCATTTTTACGCATTTCGCACCATGGAACCTTTCTGCATGGGGTGGATTCCGGAGGACTGATTAAACTGGTGCACCAGCTATGACAACAACAACAACAAACCACAAAAACATGAATAAGCTGCCGGAGTCGCCTGTGGATGGAAATGTTGATATGAAACAAACAGATGGAAGAGCATGGCCGAGTTCACATAATCACCGCAGCACCTGGAGGATCTCCTCAATGCTAAACAAAGAGCAGCTAGCTTCACGTTAGCCCGAGTACAAAGACCCACGACTGATTTACGGCTGGATAGTACTATATTTCACAGCATGAAGGTCCTGAGTTTGATACCACCTCCAGACCTTTCCATGTGGAGTTTGCATGTTCTCCCTGTGTCTGCGTAGGTTTCCTCCAGGTGCTCCAGTTTCCCCTTCCACAAAAAATATGTACATTAGGTCTGACATGTACCTCCAGTATGACGGCCTCGCTGCTATCTCTGTGTGGAATGAGAGACAAATGTAACAACAATTGTAAAGCGCTTTGAGAGTCCGGTCTGTGAAAGGCGCTATATAAATAAATATTCCTTACTTAAATGCGTTATTGCTGCTTACAGTAAAAGTTGCACTGGTCTGTAGGACTTGGTTGGACGAGAATAAAACATATTTTGTTGCTTAAGGTGATGATAAACCTCTGATAGTCTGACATACACTGTATAAATATATATTTCTGGTTTTCAGGGACCATGGGTGTTTGTTTAGACATGGCTTCACTTCCTCATTAACTGTTATTCAAAAACTTTAAAGGTCCACAAGCGGATTGTGAAACATTTGACGCGATCTGTTCGTCACGATGTCCTTTCACAACGGAACAGAGTCAGCGACGACTGGTTTACGTTTAAAACACGAGAGAAAGAGACAGACAGAGAGAAGGAGAGAGGAAGAGAGAGAAGGAGAGAGAGGAGAGACAGAGAGGAGAGAGGAAGAGAGAGAAGAAGAGAGAGAGGAGAGAGAGACAGAGACAGACAGAGATAGATAGACAGAGAGAGAGAGAGACAGAGAGAGAGAGAGACAGACACACAGCTCTGTCTGTGTGTCACTCCTCTCTCTATCTCTCTCTCTCTCTCTCTCTGTGTCTCCGTCTCTCAGAAAAGGACACGGAAAGAGAGAAGATAGAGAAAGAAACAGAGAGAGAGAAAATGGAAAAGTATAGATTTTGGAATATCGGTCTGTTATCACGGACTTTGTCGACTGGTGTGAGCGCAACCACTTGTGCTTGAACACCAGTAAGACCAAGAAGATCGTCATCGACTTCAGGAGAAAACCACTTTCCCACACGCTGCTGAACATCCAGGGGGAGGTCATTGAGCTGGTGGACAGCTTCAAGTACCTGGGTGTTCACATTAACAATAAACTGGACTGGTCCCATAATACAAACGCCCTGCACAAGAAGGGCCAAAGTCGCCTTTATACAGCTAATATCTGGAACAATCTTCTTGAAAATGTGACACAGGAGCTTATTGGAAGAGCTATAGCAGTTTGTGAAATGTCAATAATTGTAATGAGCTGTAGGTTGGACAGAGTGTGTTTGTCCGACCCAGAGCTCGTGGCTCTACGTCACAAAGGAATGCACCACAAAAGACTCTGTGTGAGACAGAGACAGAGAGAGGCAGAGAGAGAGAGACAGAGACAGAGAGAGACAGAGAGAGACAGAGAGAGACAGAGAGAGAGACAGAGACAGAGGCAGAGACAGAGAGACACAGAAAGAGACAGAGAGAGACAGAGAGAGAGACAGAGAGAGACAGAGAGAGAGACAGAGACAGAGAGAGACAGAGAGAGACAGAGAGAGAGACAGAGACAGAGGCAGAGACAGAGAGAGACACAGAGACAGAGGGAGAGAGAGAGAGAGAGAGAGACAGAAAGATACAGAGAGAGACAGAGAGAGACAGAGAGAGAGACAGAGACAGAGAGAGACAGAGAGAGAGACAGAGACAGAGGCAGAGACAGAGAAAGACACAGAGACAGAGGGAGAGAGAGAGAGAGACAGAGACAGAGAGAGACAGAGAGAGACAGAGAGAGACACAGAGACAGAGGCAGAGACAGAGAAAGACACAGAGACAGAGTGAGAGAGAGAGAGAGAGAGAGAGAGACAGAAAGAGACAGAGAGAGAGAGCCAGAGACAGAGAGAGAGAAAGAGAGAGAGAGGCCAGGAAGAGAGTAGAAATAGACTAGAGACCAGAGAGAGATTCTGACATTAGTAAGTAAGTAAGTAAGTAATCTTTTATTTATATACCGCTTTTTCACTGCACATCGGAGTCTCAAAGCGGTTTACAATTGTTATTATCAGAGTATTCAGATAATGGCACATATATTGTAAAGCTATGTACCCCAGCTTTAAGGACCATGATGCCAAGTCTGTCTGATGCGGGTGGCCCTCACCTGAACCTGCCCAGACACACTCCACATCCCCACCACCACCACCACAACAACAATACTGACTCAGGGGCCCCGTCGCCATGGCAGCCGTTGCTATTGGCCCCTGTTTGGCCCTGTTTGTGTCCCGGGACAACAGCGACTCTCCTGTGAGTGGCTGAGTCAGCGTTTATAGGCGACGTTATTCCCCGGTGAGAATGACTGCCACTGTGTCCATTGCCGACGGTAACACGAGGGTTTTCCTCAGACCCACATGACCCACTGAACCTGGCGCTGCACATTCTCCGCATTCTTCAAGTGACTTATAAATAGCTCGGTAAACAGGCTGCCGCGTGAGCATCTGGCTCCACGCTCGAGGAAATAAACGTGTGAAATAATTTTAAAAAACAAGGGCAATGTTGGGAAATACAGGTGCGACAGGTCGGAAAAATTGGAATATTATTTTAAAAAATCTGACGTCGTTATTGTAGATAGTTAGCGATAGCAGCTTCGTACAGTCTCACATGTACATTTGTTTTTGTTAATGTTGTACAGTATTTACAATGTATTGGCCTTGCTCTCTGATCCCTCTCTTTGGTCTCTCTCTGACCCCTCTCTCTCTGGTCTCTCTCTCTGGTCTCTCTCTCTGGTCTCTCTCTCTGGTCTCTCTCTCTGGTCTCTCTCTGACACCCTCTCTCTCTCTGGCCTCTCTCTCTCTGAGGCCTCTCTCTCTGGTCTCTCTCTCTGGTCTCTCTCTCTGGTCTCTCTCTCTGGTCTCTCTCTCTGGTCTCTCTCTCTCTGGTCTCTCTCTCTCTGGTCTCTCTCTCTCTGGTCTCTCTCTCTCTCTGGTCTCTCTGGTCTCTCTCTCTCTGGTCTCTCTCTCTCTGGTCTTTCTCTATGGTCTTTCTCTATGGTCTTCTCTCTATGGTCTCTCTCTCTGGTCTCTCTCTCTGGTCTCTCTCTCTGGTCTCTCTCTCTGGTCTCTCTCTCTGGTCTCTCTCTCTGGTCTCTCTCTCTGGTCTCTCTCTCTGGTCTCTCTCTCTCTGGTCTCTCTCTCTGGTCTCTCTCTCTCTGGTCTCTCTCTGGTCTCTCTCTCTCTGGTCTCTCTCTGGTCTCTCTCTCTCTGGTCTCTCTCTCTCTGGTCTCTCTCTCTCTGGTCTCTCTCTCTCTGGTCTCTCTCTCTCTGGTCTCTCTCTCTCTGGTCTCTCTCTATGGTCTCTCTCTCTATGGTCTCTCTCTCTATGGTCTCTCTCTCTATGGTCTCTCTCTCTATGGTCTCTCTCTATGGTCTCTCTCTATGGTCTCTCTCTATGGTCTCTCTCTATGGTCTCTCTCTATGGTCTCTCTCTATGGTCTCTCTCTATGGTCTCTCTCTATGGTCTCTCTCTCTGGTCTTTCTCTATGGTCTCTCTCTGGCCTCTCTCTGGCCTCTCTCTCTGGCCTCTCTCTCTGGTCTCTCTCTCTGGTCTCTCTCTCTATGGTCTTTCTCTCTGGTCTTTCTCTCTATGGTCTCTCTCTATGGTCTTTATGGTCTCTCTGGTCTCTCTCTCTGGTCTTTCTCTCTATGGTCTCTCTCTCTATGGTCTCTCTCTCTATGGTCTCTCTCTCTCTGGTCTCTCTCTCTGGTCTCTCTCTCTGGTCTCTCTCTCTGGTCTCTCTCTCTGGTCTCTCTCTCTGGTCTCTCTCTCTGGTCTCTCTCTCTGGTCTCTCTCTCTGGTCTCTCTCTCTGGTCTCTCTCTCTGGTCTTTCTCTCTCTGGTCTCTCTCTCTCTGGTCTCTCTCTCTCTGGTCTCTCTCTCTCTGGTCTCTCTCTCTCTGGTCTCTCTCTCTCTCTGGTCTCTCTCTCTCTGGTCTCTCTCTCTCTGGTCTCTCTCTCTCTGGTCTCTCTCTCTCTGGTCTCTCTCTCTCTGGTCTCTCTCTCTCTGGTCTCTCTCTCTCTGGTCTCTCTCTCTCTGGTCTCTCTCTCTCTGGTCTCTCTCTCTGGCCAGTAGAGTTGTTTCTTTGGGCCTGAATCTCCAGTCAGCTGATGCTCAGAACAGTCTCTCTCTCAGATCGTTACATAAACAAAAACCAAAACACATTTGGGATTTATGTCGTTTCTAGGTTTATCAAGTGATTCTTTCAACTCTTCTCTTTCTAGGAACTTGTCCTGACGCCAGCATTACACTCTGCAGATTTAACAGACAGACTAGAGAGAGAGAGACTAGAGAGAGACCAGAGAGAGAACAGAGAAAGACCAGAGAGAGACCAGAGAGAGAGACCAGACAGAGAGACAAGAGAGAGACCAGAGAAAGACCAGAGAAAGACCAGAGAGAGACCAGAGAAAGACCAGAGAGAGACCAGAGAGAGACCAGACAGAGAGACCAGAGAGAGGCCAGAGAAAGACCAGAGAGAGACCAGAGAGAGAGACCAGACA